CAAAGTTTTAAAATCAATGCCGTTAGGTCGGACACGCCATGTACCCACTTTAATTTCAAAGAAAATGAAAGGAACGCATTTCCTTGCTGTGCCTGGATTGAAGACGCTTTGGTATTTGATAACACTTTCATTACATATTGGTTGCTGGTGATGTGGAAGGATCTTGGATGTAACCCACCAGTTAAAAGAGAATGAAGAGACATGGTGTCCCTATGAGTCCTCTGAAGTGGTATCGATAGGCTGAGAATATGTCTAGCAAACCACGGTTCTCATCTATTGGTCTCCATTATGTCACCATGTTCCTTAAGCATTGATCGCATCGACTTCAGGTGGCAACCAGTGATTACCTCGCATCTCTTATGAGCCCAGATTTCTCCACGTTGTCAAATATATTCAGCAAATGTAGCTTATTAAAGTGTTCTAGTCGTGTACGTGTATTTGAATTTATCCAAATGGCATTTTCCGAAACGGAGGGTGATCAAACGGGACAGATCGGGAGAATTACTGAATGCTGTGTTAAATCGGGGGTTCTCGTTAGTCTAGTTGCCACTTGATCTATGTAAATGTTTCAAGTTGGTAATGACATTTAATTGCATTGATGGTCACACACATAAACCTGTCTCAAGAATAGCGATCACTAGCCCACTGTGGGTCATAGACAAAGTTTGGGGTTATATTTGATAAGTTGGCCTCATTTATTTCACAATTTGATGAAATGGATCATCAAACACATTTGAAATACCAGTTTAACATTAATCTAAAAGTAGGAATGTTTAGCAATATTCAAAACTTTGAAACTGCACCCATGCACACACCGCATCGCGCACACACACGCACGCGCACAACACACACACACACACACACAAAATATATACCTTTCTAGTAATACAATGCCTTTATCAATAAATTCAATTGCCTGCTCGATTTGCAGCTGTGTTAGTTTAACGAAGCGTTGACACATCGGCAAATCCCTCTGTAATTTAATATCTTGGAAATGGCAATTAACTATCGGAATGGTATATAGTAGTGCGTATCGACAAAGCTATCCTTCAAATCAAACAAAAGCATTTTATGAATTTCAACGCCAACTGTATGTGTGATAGCGGGAGTGGATAACATCAATCTCATCTCCAGCTATATCACATAGCACAAGTGTGTTCAACATGACGAACTGTTTCTTTATCCACTTGGTCATCATGCCTCACGAAAATGTCTCTTAATATTTCCTCGAGATTACACAGGTTATTTGTATTTTTGCAGTTATTAATTACTTTATGACAATGTTAAAGCGAACGCATTGCTATTGAGATGTTACATCTCTTCCTGGTTCCTTTTCATGGAATTATCCAACCTCTCTGACAGCAATTTGTCCCCACCTTTGATCAACGAGGAAAATATAAGTGACAATTAACCTTATCCTAAGGCATGGTATTTTCTTATTCTTTGATGTAACGTTGTGCTGATAAGGTCTTCGTGGTGCCAACAATCTAAGCAAAGGTACTCGCTAAGCCACTGGTACGTTCTATCAAGTGAATTACAGACGCATCAGACATATCGATCTCCTGTAAACCAGCAGTCTGAGACATATTACGCCTATCAGACTGATTCCGAGTTTACACTTTGGGCTCAGAGGATTCTCCAGATTCACCTTCACTGCGGTTACCCATTTTTGATCACAAACACTTTCATCACATTTGACTTTAAACGGGCGATCCGTAAGCAGAGAATATACTCGGTTTGACTTATGAGTTTGGCAAGGAACATGGTTTTAGATGTGAATATATGTGTTTGGCGGTATCACCGTGACGGGTTGTGAGTGAGAGTAACTCAGGAACAGACCGAGGGGAAGAAAGATTGATTAAATGAAAAAGGCACACAGGGACAATGTGGCTGAAAGATACAAATGCAGAGAGTGTCACGGGTATAGATGGTGGCAAAGTGGGACACGGGGAGTGCTCGAAGGATAGAAAACAAATGATAATGGTCAGACTTGGGGAAATATGGCTGGGAGTGGAAAGACAGATAACAATTGACACTGGGGCAGGCTCAAGTTGAAAAACAGCGGATATGAATGCAGGAAAGTCCAACTTAGAATAATATTAACTGTGTGGGAAGTTCAGTGTTTCCCATGGTCATACATTTATAATGATCAATTTACGTTTAAGAATATAAGAAATACAGCTGTGAAAATGGACACTTTATGAGCTATTATGACACGGTTTCTTGGAGTATAGGGCTACATAAAGACACAGGATTACTGTGCAGGAAAACCCAAAGATAAAGGGAGAAAAGTGTTGTTTCATTCGTTTTAGTCACATTTCAGAGTGCTTTATGCAACGATACTGATGTTCTTAATATGAGCAACGCTACACATAAGTTTTCTGATGCTTTATCTGGTCCCTATGTTTTTTTCATTTCGATGGTGTCCAACTCGTTAAGACCACTTGGTCGTCACAAGCATACACATGAGTCCCACTCGTTTTCATGTCCTCTGATCCCATAGAAACCACGCACTGAAACTACTGTATATTACTGCGTCTTGTATAACAATAATGGACAAAGCAAACAGAGTGAGTGAGTTTAATTGTAAGCCGCTTTTAGCAATATTCCAGCAATATCACGGCTTTGAACACCAGCAAAGGGCTTCACACATTGTACCCATGTGGAGAATCGAACCCGGGTCTTCGGCGTGACGTGAGAATGCATTAACCACAAGGCTACCCCACCGCCCCAGTGCGAATGGACACATAAAGACCAGAAAACTATTAATATGTTTGCTTGCTCGGAATATTCCATCAGCAGACATCGACAGAGGATGGCGTTTTAAGACGTTATGTAATACTGTTTTGATATCATCAGTTTATGTAGAACATTGGGATCCAAACTCTGAGTGTGTGGCCCAGAATAGTGTATTCTCCGACTGGGAATGGGGAAAAGGTTCTGAATATAAGTCATAGGCCACAGATGGTAATGACGTGTTACCTGCTAATGGCCACCTGCTACTCATAGTCATATGCAGGCCACCTTAGCATATGGATGACATGAAAATTGCAACATTGCAAAGTATTTACTTATACCGTCTCGCTTCAGAGTTTACATAAAACCCGTCAATATTCGATTAAACCCAGAACCGTATTGGAAACACAGAACATTACGTTCTTATTAATTATCTACATAAAATAGACATGCCGATACAGGAGTCCTTCTTCACTGTTTTCATTGTATCCAAAACACGATGTCGTGATCTGTAGTCTATAAATACGGCACTGGCTCTGCAGATTGGTGTGTTTAAGGCGTCATGGAAAATATCATGTACGATTGAAAAACTGCTCGAGTTATTGATTGCAGAGTTTAATATTCTGCAATTTCAGCAGCCATTGCACATTCACCATTCCATATCTATACAAGGAAAACAAAGTAGTCATAACTTGAACAAACACAATCTATGGTTGTAAGGTCCCACTAAAATCATGTTTGTGCACAAAGGAAGTCTATCAAAAAGTATCTAAAGAAACCACTACCCTATTGCTGAACGCAGATGTTTGTGCTGTCGGTGCTTGCTATACATTTTACAAACACGATCTAAAATTATATCGAAATGTTGATCACACCAATACCTCGTGTCATTCGTGTTTTGACACAAAGTACAGCAAATCACCGTTATGATCAAAAGACTCACTCACTCACCCAGATATAGTTTTCCAAGCACTAACGTATACATTTTTCTATGAAGCTCCAAGCCTCGGTTCATTGTGTCCTCACCACTATCATCTGTATACAAGAAGATTGTATGTTTGTTCTGACTGTATAGAGTTTGCACGCTACCACCAGACAAAATCGAAGCCGCGATCAAGGGAATCAGTTAAAGGGTTCAGCATCGCAAATTACGGTCATTGAGAAATACACTTAACTGTAGGTGTCTATCCTTTCAGGCTTGGTAATCAGCAACCTTCACAACTACCATTCACTCATTCAGCAATATTGATAAGAATTCCGCATCCTGAGCTTCACAGGAAGCGTACGTCACCAAAGGTGATCCGATGTCCGAAGAAACATCACTGATAAAATCAAAGACAAGGATATTGTCATGTCCAGAGACTAAATTAATGTTGGTTTTGCTGTTGTTGTTGTTGCCAAAGTTCAGTTCCAGTTCAGAACAATGTTTGCTCTGGCTCTGTGATGGATAATGTCTTATTGAACTGAGACAAACTAAATTCGAGTCTTTGCTTTTGTTTGTTATTTTATATTCACATACATTTTTGCTTCGAGAAAGGCCTACTTCATGTTGACACTTACACCAGAACAACAAGCAGCCAGCTCGGAAACAATGGTTGCTGAAAAAAGTAAATGACATGAACGTATGAATTTTCTTTAACAACTTTTGTTAATCAAATATATCTTGCTTGTCACATTATCAGATGATAAATGTTTTTTTAAGAATCATGAGGGATGGTCAGAGCCTAAAATGCTCCATGTATGTGTCCATACACACACCAGTTGTGTCTGAGCCCCACTGGTACTGAAGGCTTCCTGTTGGTGGTGTTAAACGTTATCCATGGTAAAGATTTTACATGGTGCTATCATCAATTGTCTCCTGCTTGCCAGGCGGGTTTGTCTTCACATTTGGGTGACGGTGCTACATTTGCTGAATATGTAAGTTAGGTCGACATAGACGTCTGTGTGTAGGGCAGGTTCAGGTGATCAAGCTAACGAGCTTCCGCTCGCAGGTCAGTCATGTGTACAGGCCCTCCTATCTATTTGACTAAAAAGCGTTGAATGAGATTATAATGATGGCACATTGGTAGCATAACTTCCGTATTGCAATTAAATGCATTTTCTATACGAACAAAAAGAGGTACTATCGGATTTGACAGCGGCCGTTAGTGAAGTACGTGTACAGCTGCTATGCGAAACTCGGTAGAATGCAGCGGAATAACTTCGGCTATATCCGTCAAAAAACGATCCTAGCCGAGTGACAAAACCATTTCCGGAAAAAAACAGCGTGCGACAAATGGCGGACAAAACAAAGTAAGCGACGAGGTGAGTCATTTCATTTGTATATTCCGAGCTGAAGATTTGACTTTAATGCATAATATCCACGACATTGATCAACCAACATGCATATGCATCCGAATTTGTTACTTGATGTTGGATGCGTGTTTTCTTGGATCAGTTACCATAAAAAAATTGGTAGCCTTCGCCATGCTTCGGCCTCGTCGTTCACCCTCAAGTTAAACTTCGAAGGGTTGTCTGAAAGAAGTGTTGCAGGGTGTAATCGATGCGAGGGTGATTTCTCCATTTCGCGATTTGGTAGACCAATTGATTTGTTCAGTGTTAAAATTTTGTGCCTAAGATATGCAGCAGTGAACGAGTTTTTTGTTTAGATCAAGAGTACAGTTGTGATGGGGGAATATCGGGAATGTTTGTTTACGTCTGTGTTTGCAGGTGACAAAAGGATTACAGGCTATCTTGTTAATTTTAATTTCGAATTACTTAAGAGCTGTGGGATGTGCTGTACAGACAAATGTGATGAGTGTTTCAGTTAGACATGGGTAAAGTCCTATTTGTACCGTTTGGGTTGTCTCTTTTATTAAACTTACTTAACATATCTTTTCCTTTTTAGGTCTTAGCATTGTGAAATTTGGGACGTAGAAAGTACAGACTAACGCTGAACAGGGTTAAAAAGCTCACAGGAGAGGACGTTTCTTACTACGCATGGAAACACAAGGCCAGAGCACAGCACCCCTTGCAAGAAATTGAAGCAACTGCAAGTGGACAGTGACAGTGAAGTTGATGCATCACCCATCAAGGACAATGACTCATTCAAACAATCGTCAATTTCTAACAATGTAGAAGCTCAAGAAAATACCTTTGGGGAAACAAACATTTCATGCTCATCATGCTCTTTTCGAAATTTGTCTTGATACATGCTGTGTCAAAAATGTGGGAAGAATGACAATAACTTTGAATTATGTGAACATCATGATCCAGCACATCCTCACATTGATTAGTGAAAAATCTATTGCCGAAAAGGATAAGAAGAGATACGCACTTGAAAAGTTGAAGAAAGCAGTCGAAGATTATAAAACATCTAAGTACTGTTATGTGATTCAGCTTCTTAGTGCAACTTTTTTGCAACTGCAACTGCAACTGCAAGGACACCAATTCCCTACTGTGTGACAAACTTTCCTCTTGCATTGCATCACTCAAAGGAAAGAATCACCTGTTTCTACCGTCACCAATACCTATTTTCAAACTGCCTTCATGACAATGATGAACTGATAAGCTCAAGTGATCAGAATGCACAGTTAATGGCTTCGTTCCTGAAAGACCAGGGTACATTATATATCAAACAGCGAAGTGCTCTCTGGTTTTCACTGCGCAAAACTGCCAAAATTACAGGAAGGTGCAGGAGGTATGAAAGCAATGCGGGACCATTTCTTTGAACACATTCGTGGAACAGAACATCTGGAGTTTCCCGCTGAAGTTAAAGCAGCCCTTGAACAAGACCAGAAGCATGAAAACGATGCAAGTTCAACATTTTGCACACGTTTCCTTCCGGTGTTTCAACCTATGGCAAGGATATATGAAGTTGGCTGTGTAGAACTGGATGTTGGTGGTACCAAAATGCTAGTCTCACCAGATGCTGTTATCCGTGATGAGGCAGGCTTGATAACAGGAGTTGTTGAAATAAAATGCCCATTCACAGCACCTTTGCACACAGTGATTCCAGCACGGTATTACCTTCAGGTGCAGGCAGAAATCATGACAATGGGGATTTAGTATGCATTCTTTGTCTCCTATAAACAGGACTCTACACGTGTCTTTAGAGTTGACAGGGATTCAGAGATTTGGAAGCAGGTGACTGAATGTATAAGTTTTTATAGTGATGACATTCCAAAACTTCCAGAATGCTCGAAAACTCTTGCAAGAGACATTAGAAAAGGCAAGGGAAGACTGCAAGTTGCCATCATAGGTCTCGTCGGTGACTCTGGATCCCAATGGAGCTAGGCCAGAGCTAAAAACAGATGTGCTGTCAACTTACAGGTATCCTGAAACAACTGCAAATGAAGTGGAGGACATAACAAGTACCTGGAATACCAAGAAGGCTGTAAAAATGCTTGAAACAGTGCATGCACACATAACCCAAGTTCATCACCTTCTTCGCCGCAAGGCAACAGAGGTTGTCACAATGGTCGCATATCCACAAGAAGAAAACGTCAAACTTGGAGAAGCCTCCTGCAGAGAGCAACCAACCTGGAAACATAGATGAAATAGTTATGGAGGAAATACGTGTATTTATTCCAACTGACACTGCCAATTCTGCCCCGAATATGGATGAATCTGCAAAAGAAGGTACTGGTGAAGACATCGTTCCAGACCATGACTGTCTCAATCTGGATGACATTACTGCACCTTACGCAACTGAAGCACAGCCAATAACCCAAGTGAACACTGCAAATACTGCTATGTCCAGCGATGTGCTCGGATCAGATTGGGTTTCTTTTCGCATGATCTTTGCAATGAATTTGAGCAGTGGCAAAGCAAATCTATTGATGACCTCATGTCCATTCTCACAGATTGTGAACTCTTGTCAAATCTGAAACTGACTGAAGTTAAGTTTATAGCACGTTTTGTCAAGCACCATGTTGATGTCCAAATGGCCATTTCAGGGAATAAGAAGGAAGTGTTTGAAAGACTGAAACATAATTTGACTGTAACTGTGAAGACTATCAATAGGAAAATAAACGTGTCCTCCTTGATGAAACTCAATGCCAAATTTATTCAGAGCAATAAATACCCACGACTCGCTCTGAATGTGTCATATGCCAACTGGAGATTTCCGCAGGCATTGCAAGAGTGGGAGCAAAATGGAAACGTTGAGTTTGGAATGTTGGTTCCAGAGATTGAGCCTAACAAAGGAATGGAATGGTTTTACATTCCAGAAATGTCCAGTACTAGAGGTCATATAGAAGTCAAAAGGATCGACAGCCATCACCTGGTGACCAGACATCGGTCCGCCATCTGTAAGGGTGACTTGGGATTTGCAAAGAGAGAACATTTTGTGAAGGCGAGCAGGTAAAAGACAACACCATTGAAGGCAGGAATGATGGAGGAGCAGCTTAACATGCAGTCAACATATTATGCAAGGATAACCTTTTCAGCTCCAGTGGAGCATCAGCTGAGACTCAAGGGACACTCCTCGTCAGCAGATTTGTGCAGATATGTAAGTTATTTCATAGTTAATGGACTGTATGATAAAAAGCTTTGTTAATAGTTTAAAGAAAGTTGCATAAGAATAAATGATGATGATAAATTTGGTATCTCAATGTTGATGAACATGTTAATTTGTTGAATTAAGGTACATTAATCATGCTATTGGACTCTAGGTATAACAAATATTAAACACATTTCAGGTTCGTGAGTGGTTCCAGGCACGTGATGACCTAGGGATATCAGCTATTGACAGGTGTAGGATGAAATATAGGTGAGATAATTTAGAATTTCCTCTGTGGTTTGTAGATCATTGTGATATGACCAAAATCCATAACAAAAGTTACAGCTGATGAAACTTTAATTACCCTAACTTCATGAGTTCATAAATTTCTCAATTTTTACAGGTACAAGAAATTCCTTCTGTCCCTGACTGACTTGTCCACCTACCCTCCAGTGGGTTCACATTTCAGAGGGTACCCAGTACCTCTCTGGGAGGCAACCTTTGCATCAGTCGATGCTGACATGTTTATGTATGCCATTTGCAAGCGTCGGACCTACAACAACATGGCTCTGAGCTGTCAGCCACGCGAAAATCTGTTTTCATGCCTTGCACCTATGCCAGGTGCAAGAAATGGAGTCCCCAGCTGTGTGGAGCTTGAGGTGAACATGGCCAAAATTTGTGGGGAAAGCATTGTAAGGCAAGATCCAACCAGGTAAGTCCAGAACCATGCTAGGAAGGATTGTTTTCTCTGGCATTTAAAAGTTGTATATTTTTAACCAATGGGGTATTCTAACACAGGGTGATAGGTTGTGTATTTGTATTGTTTACTTTTATCAAATATACTCATGAAAATGAATAAGGAAACACAGGAATGTACAAGTGTTCAATTATTCTTTCCCAGTATTTCACCCACAGTGCAATACAAAGCTTTTGAAGAAACCGGGAACAGAGTAAAGTATATGTAGAATCTGGCAGTGTGGTAACTTATTGTTCAGATGACTTACTCTTCAATGTACCGTGGTTTATAATGTGATGCCGCAGGTTTAACTATTTGATCACCTGAACTTTCAACTGATTGCTATCTTGCAGAGGCTTCGGTATGAGGTTGGCAAGTGCCCCGGTTTACCCACAAGTACTGTTGGAGAATGATGTTGGTCCTCTTCCCTTGCCTGTTGAACCCCCTACATATATTCATTGCATTACAATAAAGGTGGGTAGCAATATTTAACAGTACATAGGCAGTGCTTAAAGCACTAGAAACAATGCGATATCATAATTTAAGTTCATGTACACCCAAAAGTAGTACATATAAATTTGTTATTGAGTTCTTCATTTCTATAACTGGACCCAGCTAACACAAAACGTTTCTGAAACGTTTTCTAGTGGTTTCTCACGGAAATGTTTCATGGAAACGTTTTGATAATGTTCTTGAAACGTTTATTTGAACGTTATTTTGAAACGTTATGAACTTATTTTTCGAAACTAAATAAAAAGCAGACGATTTGCTGATACTTATAGTGAATTTATAACAGAACTGTAATATCTAGACATTTTATAGTTTGCCAATGTGAATCATAATTTGCACACACACCCTAGTGTATGTTGTCTGTCTCATAACACTTCACGGCGAAAACAATGATTCTGTTGAATGCTACGACAAATGAATAAAATCAAAATGCAAATATTAAAATTAAAACAGATTAAAGTTATAGGAACAATGTCAGGCTATTACCTTGTTCGAGGAATGTATCCATCAATATTCACAAAAACGAGTGATATGCCATTCATCTGCAGCTGTTCCAAATGATGTGTCTTTTAACAGTTTAATATACGAAAAAGTGATTAATCTTTACAGGTATTTCACATTGGTGTATATTCTCATTGGTCACCCAAGATAGCACACCTGGCAACTAATTGCATAATGTCCGCCTTTCTTTAAAAACAGTAATTTAGTTAGCCAATAATGGGCAACCAATCAATGTATTGGCGGTTAATCCTTTGAAAGAAGGACGTTGTTTTTACGCAGACACCGACACGACAGAGTGTATTCAGTATAGATTAGTAAATCTACATACATAAACACTACCTTTTGACAAATCCGCTGTGTAAGATAAAAGTAATTAATCAATCAGCGTGTTATCGGTTAATCCTTTGATCGATGTTTATAATGTTGAATATTTACTCCAGACACAAGAAATGCCAAATGGGAACCTTTGTCGAGTAATCTAAGTGTGTTACCACTAATTATACCTGTTATAAATTCATTAACTGACCATCAAGTGAATGATGACAAATAACATGTGTAGGTTTATACCACCTAACACGGGTTACAACGAGGGAGTATTAATTGCTGTATTGCATGTAAAATTATGGGCCGACACTGTTTTGAGAATACAAACGGAACTTCATTGTTGCATAAGAAATACATATAAGCATTTGCTGTGTGCTAAAACTGTATGTACCTATTTACCATAGTATCAGTTTGCATATGGCTAGGTATTTTCCAGAAGAAAAAGGCATTTAGGATATTTTTTTGCTCATGGATATTGAGGTTGGGAAGTCTTCTCGTAATCATGCAATTATGTTCAGTTGTGATTGCTCGTTTTGGAAGTAATTGATGTTATAGATTGATATTGCTCAGTTGAGTAAAGATCCCTGCAAATACTAACCTGGAACTTGTTTTTCATCATAGGTTTGCAAAACATCAGCACACATGCCTTCCGTTCATCAAATAAGCTTTACAATATTTAAAACCTACCAGAGAAAAGATTTATTTGCAATTACATCATTAAAAGTCATGCACAGAGATCCCTAAATATGGCGTGCAAACAGGAATGCAAATCTGGACGTATCTATGCGTATAGGGTAGATTTTCATGGTCACCTGAAAGGACGTAAGTGCCATTTACAGCCTTAGCGTAGATTTCTACAAAGTATCAAAAGGCAGCATGTGTCACTTACAACCATTCTTTTGGCGAACTTCAAGACAAATGTCAGAAGAAGAAAGTAATTAAACATTAAAAAGTAAATAATTCATCTTAAAATGGACATACAATAAGGTACATAGTATTAAGATACTTCTTCCTTACGGCTTTGCTGATATGAAAAACTTCAAATCATCATCTCAAGAAGTACGTGTTTAAAACAGTTTTTCTTGATTATCTCAGAAGTTTAAAAAATTGCAGATCTGCAGATAGAACCTTTTAATTCTGCGACGTCGATTTATAGAATTTCTTTGTGTTTATTTCAGAAGCCAACACAGACGCAAGAAAAGCCCGATGGCAAAGATGACTGATTATCTTCCATATGTATTGATGAAATGAAGTATTCTTTAAAACATATCATTCTTTTGTTTTTATTTTCACTGATAATAACGGATGACATGATTAACAAATTTACTTACGTGTATGTATTTATTGGACGGGATTCAAAACACTTGGTGTTGGTAAACTAGCCTTGCAACGATATCAGAAGATGATATCGTTTCTGATATCTCTACAATCGCAAAAAGGTTAAACCCAAACGTTTCTGAAACGTTTTAGAAAGCCACTTTTCAAAACGTTTTTAGAAGGTTTCTAATGTTTCTCGCCAACGTTTCGTCAAAACGTTTCGTCAAAACGTTTTTAAAACGTAAAAAAAAATCCACAAAATTACGTTTTAAAAACGTTTTTTTTAACGTTTTTAAAAACCATACGGAAACTCTTTCAGAACGATTCTGTGTTAGCTGGGGACCACCTATTTGATGCCCCATCCAGGATTCGTCGTGCAAGGAAATCAATGCAGGGTATATCGAGTCTCCATGAACCTGGTCGAGGTGCTATTTGCGTCAGGAGCTACCACAAAGTCAATGAAAGCAAGATGAATCCACTAATAAGAGCTGGACTTTCTGTTGCCCGCTGTGATGAACATATGTCCCAGTGCTGAATGTGTTACTCTCACCATGTGCAAATATGACAATTGTAAAACTGAACTTGCATGAATGTGTTTTGATGTTGTGTCAAATATAAACCGAACACATTTTTATCTACTGCTTATCATTTGTTCATGAATTTCATATATATATGTAAATGTATCTTTATTGCAGGTTAACATGGTTAATAGGAACAAAATTGAAATAAATACAAATCATTGCAGTTATTTGTTAGTTCTCTTTGCCATTATCACATAGCTAACCTGGTTGGCCAAGCATCCTTCCTTCTACTGATCCACAAGATCACATTAACAAACATTACAAGCATGCACAGGTATTTTCTAATAACAAGACTTTACAATCTATAACACTAGCAAAAGAACGTTGAGGAAATTATATTACTAAAAACGAAATGTAAACAATAGAACTTAAAAAAGCAAAGGGTGTGTGGTTAATAATGGCAAATACATAGTGTCGAAATCTTAGTTGACAACTGACCATGTTTATTCATTAAGCAAATGGAAAAAGGTCATGACATATTTTTTGTTAAAGTTTACCACAACCTGTATGCTGACAGCATACATGTTTTATGAAGAATATTTACATGTTAACAGAAAAATAAAGTGTTCACCAGTTCAAATTCATAAAACAACAAAGATTCAGCATTAAATGCCATTTTAATTTTTTTTAAATCTGACATGTTTACTTCAAATGGCCAGTAGATATTAATTACAATGTATACTCAAGGTATGCAAGGAACATCTTTGATTGACACCAATGTCATTTTATAACATTGTAAATATCTAGAAAATACTGATGGTTTTTAAGGCAATGAAAATATTATCTTTGTCACTGGTGATATAAATTTGGCACATAAAATACTGATGGTTTTCGGGCAATGACAATATCTTTGGCACTGGTGATAAACTTGGTACATAAACATGAAAGACTACACATTAGGCAAGTACTAAATCCTTCAATGATGGTTTCCAGGCAATGACAATATCTTTGGCACTGGGGATATAAACTTGGTACATAAACATAAAAGACTACACATGAGGCAAGTACTAAATACTTCAATAACTGCAACCGCTGCAATATAGCTGGGATTAGGCTGAGTGCAGCGTAAAACTAAACTCACTCACTATCACAAATGAAAAAACCCAATCACAATTCCTCCCACATGCTACTCGCTCGAGGCCTATCACAACTGTTCCGCTGCATGTGCCTTTTCCACATTTGTCACATACGTGTTGCCGTGTGTCATTGTGTGTCGTCTTGACATGACGATTGACGCTAGCCTTCCAAATGGACACATAGTTGCAGTGTGAACACTGGTATTTCTGTGCATGCCCATCATACATCAGGCTGTGGATCTTTAGCTGTCCTTTGGAAGCAAACCACTTCCCACAAACACTGCATTCAAACTCCTTGGAATGCCATGACATGTGACGCTTCAGTTTTGTTTTCGTTGAGAAAGACATGTCACAGTCATGGCACTTGTGTTCCTCACCAGCATGCTCCTTAACATGCGCCGCCATGTAGCTGGAATATTGCTGATTGCGGCGTAAAACTAAACTCACTCATTCACTCCTTACCATGCTCACGTATACCACGGAATGTTGTTGTGACTTTACCGCAGAACTTACATTTTACAACACCAGTTTTTTTGTGGACTTTAGCGACATGTTCTTTCTGCAGTTGGTTGATGAGGAAAGACTCACCACACAATTTAAAATCTCTTGTGTGGCGCCTCACATGCAGGTTCAAGAAGCCTTTGGTCTTGAGAATCTTCCCACACTGTAAAGATGGTTTGTGCTCCTTTGTCTCAGATGCATCGAACATTGTCTCATCAATCCTGGACGTGTTTACCTCTGTTTCATCTAAATGAGACATATCCAGGAAACTTGTGTCCTCCTGCAAACGTTGACTGTGATCTGTAAGTGTAAAACAAAAAGAATAAGATTATGAAATATATTCAGAAAACTAATCATTATGAGTTTTATTTAGAACATGGAATGAAAGGGGAGAACATAAATATTGTGTTTGTCTGATATCTTAACAATCTAAATGGAAAACTGGAGAACAGACACTGAAAGACAATAATCTACCTCTTGGTGTGAGAAGTAAGTACTGCTGGTGACACTGGCACATAGGAAGACTGTAATATTGGGGAGACCCCATGCCGAAATTTCGTAAGTACATGTGAGAATTCACTCGACAAAGACAAGGCGAAGGAGGGTGGCAGCCTCTATGAATACTTCCGCCGATAGCAGCTTCAGATTTCCGTTCGACT